TCTTATCCCTGGGTCCTTCTTGTCTTTTCTCTTCCTGCTTTCTGTCTGTCATGAGCTGAACTCGCTTAACCATGCGTTCAGCTTCCCCACAGGCTGGAAGCAGCAGAGCTGAGGGGCAGTGAAGGGAACTCCAGAGACCCTGAGCCTAAACCAGTCTTCTCCCTTAAACTCTGAATCTCAGGTCATTGTCACAACAAAGAAAAGCCACCTGCTGTGTACTTCAGAGTGCATTCCCAAGGCAGCCACCACCTCTGCCAGGAAATATCTTGCAGAACTCTTTCAAGTTATAAGATTTTACTTTAAAGACTATTTTATTTTTACCATGTTTACTTATTATGTTTTTCTACTTTTTTAGTTATACTTTGTTGTAGTGAGGGGCTGCGGGCAGGCCTGCTTTTCATCCTGCCCGGCTCCCGCACAGCTAGCTTAGTCCCAGAAATAACAACACACAAATTGTATTCATTTAAGCACTGCCTGGCCCATTATCTCTAGAGAGTTAGTTACTGACTAACTCTCATATCTTGATATTAACCCATTTCTAATAATCTGTAGCACCACGAGGTGGTGGCTTACCGGAAAAGATTCAGCATGTCTGACCTGGTGGCTGGCTCCATGGCTTCTGCCTCATAGCCCTCTTCCCAGCATTCTGTTCTGTTTACTCCGCCTACCTAATTTTCTGTCCTATCAAAGGGCCAAGGCAGTCTCTTTATTGACCAATGAAAATAACACAATAGACAGATAACCCTTCTCCATCACTTTGTTGTTTTTGCTACTATATCCACTGTTAAAAAAATCATAGAACTTAACTCTATACTGTAGTAAATGAATGATATTCATTTACAAATGAATCAATGTGTGGTGCAGAGGTGGGAGGATCTTTGTGAGTCTGAGGCCAGCCTGATCTACAGAGTGAGTTCCAGGACAGCCAGGGCTACACAGAGAAACCCTGTCTCAAAAAAAAACCATAAATAAGCTGGGCAGTGTTGGCACACACCTTTAACCCCCAGCACTTGGGAGATGAGAGGCAGGTGGATCTCTGTGAATTTGAGGCCAGCCCTGATCTACAGGACAGGCTCCAAAGCTATAGAGAAACCCTGTTTCAGAAAACCAAAACAAAAAAAGGGGGGGGGGGACAAAGTATATATAATGAAATTGGGATGGGTACAAGGTGCTTACTTGTAAAATCCTAATATTCAGGTCTCTGAGGCAGGAGGATTGTGAATTTGTATCTGATTTCTAAGAGGAAGCACACAAACCTCTGTACTTTCCCAATAAAGGAGCTGTCTTTGTTGCTACTCTTGTTGCTATTATTATCTGGGGATATGTGGAAGACAAGGTTTAGCTATGTAACTCAGGCTAGCCTTGACGTAAAGATCCTTCTGCCTCGGCTTCCTGAATGCGGGGATACTAGACATTAGTATTCATTAGTCCCCTGAATCAGCCCTGAGTGTATGCTAAAACAATGAGGGCTTTCTCCATGGAGAGCTGGCTATCCTTATGAACCACGTGATTAGGGGTTTGGAACTCTGAACTAGTATGATCTCCAGGAACGGTAGGAAACCAGAGACTGAGTTACACAAGATGTTCAATGTCTACTCAGCTGTGCTTAGGTAATGAAAAGTTAGTCCCTCTGGGGAACTCACCAGCACCTACCATCCCACCTCCTGGGAGGGCTAAGGCAAGAGGCTCACCTGAGCCCAGAAGTCCAGGACTAGCCAGGGCAACAAACCAAAATCCCATTCTAAAATAAAACCAAAATAAACCTAATATGCAGTGGAGAGTGCAAAGATAGATATTGATCTTTAAAAGTGAAATTTTGGCAGCAGGAGAGATGGCTCAAGGGTCAAAGAGCGGGGGTCTGGAGTTCAGTTCCCAGCACCTACACTAAGTGGCTCACAAACACCTATAACCCAGTTCCAGGGATCCAACACCCTCTAGCCTCAATGGGCCTCCTGAACACATGTGGTACATATAAACTCAAGCAGGCACATAGAGAGGTAAGTAAATAATAATAACAACAACAACAACCTTAAAAAACCAGGCAGATCATTTTTGTTTGTTTATTTTTGGAGACAGAGTCTCCCTACGTAGCCTGGCTGGCCTGGAATTCAAAATGTAAACCAGGCTGGCCTCAAACTCACAGAGATCTGCCTGCCTCCTGAATACTGAATTTAAAGGTATTCACCAACACACAACAATTTTTTTTTGAAAAACTAAAATCAACTTGATTAGCAAACCATTTTTGACTAACCATGTGATATAGAATTTATAATAAATAATTGACTATAACAATGTATAATGATACTTAACTTTATAAAGAACAGAATAACAATTATACATCATGACCAATAATTTCACATTCTGTTTCAGTGTTTATTACAAGAGATAGTTTTACAAAAGATACAGAGATTATACATAGGTACAAAAACAGTCAAAGATTGGGACTGAAGAGATGGTTCAGCAGTTAAGGGCACCGGCTGCTCCTCCACATGGCCTGGGTTTGATTCTTAGCACCCACATGGCAGCTCACAACAGTCTGTAACTCCAGTTCTAGGTAACCCAATGCCATCTTCTGTGCTCTGTGGGCACAAGGCATTCGCGTGCTACACAGCCATACGAGCAGGCAGAACACCCGCAACGCTTTAATGCTTCTAAGATTAACTTGTTAGGTTCCTATTGTTTTTCCCTGAACAATGCCAACTGCATTCTATTAAGAAAAAAAATATTACTGCCTGGTTAAATCCTCTTCAGAATTCTAGGGTCTCTGTTGGAACGATATTTTCCGTCCTGACAAAGGATACTCAAGGACAGCATGCAGGCAGCGACAGTGATAAAAATGGCTCAAACACAGTAAATATTACCACTCTAGCCATTACAAGCACTGCATGCATACCCCAACCTTATGATGGGACCCAGATTGGCACTCAATTTACAGCTTCGCCCCATTGTGAACCAGATACCTCATTTCCCCCAGTTTTTACCATATGCCAAAGCAAATCGTGGGAGAAAAAAATCAATTGGTGAGGGTTTTACCATGTCACCCCCACTAAAGCGATTTGTATGGGTAAGAGAAAATGCTTCAAGTGTTGGAGATGGTTGGCCTTGGTTTCAATGGCTTGTCTCTAATGAGGCTGGTGCTGTGTCTGATATTTTCGCCTTGGCTCGGACTGATGACATAATACATAAAATGCTTAACGTCTCAGGAACAATAAAAAACTGGGCGATTATACAATATCACTGTTAATGGAAAAAAGTCTAACGCCATTTATTCCAGGGCTGAGGTATGTGTACAGGCACCTTTTGCGTTTTTACTTGTGAGTTCCACTAATCACATGGTAAATTGTGCTAAAGATCAATGCTGGCTTGCAGAATGCTGGAATAATACCTGGCCAACCGCAGTGGTCATGAAGGTGCCTACTATAGTTCCCATTCCAATGGAAGTAGATCCAGATACCTTTCCACTGATGACTTTGCTAAGGGAACGTAGAGACTTTGGCATTGCTTCTGCAATTATGGCTGCCATAGTCTTTTTGACAGGCAGCGCTATAACTGCGGCAGTAGCTATGGCCAATCAAATGCAAACGGCACAAACCATTAACAAAGTTATGGAACAAACATCGAGGGTCCTTGAGACCCAAAATATGGTTAACAAACATTTGCTGTCGGGCATTGTGGCAGCTAATCAAAGAATAGATTTAGTGCAAGTACAAGTAGAAGAATTACATAGCTTGATACAAGTAGGATGCATTTCACAAATGAAACATATGTGCATAACCCCTTTGAGATTTATTGATGCAGGAAATAAGAGCAAAAGGCTGGGAAACTATTTAGCTGGACACTGGTCGCGAGAGGCGGAACAACTTATCCAACAGCAGCTGGTCCAAATTGTTGAACTTAATGGAACCCGTGTTGATCCTGTTACCTTCGAAGACCTGACCTCTAGGTTGACTTCAGTTTTCACCTTCTTTAAGGAATGGGTTGGGGTGGGATTGTTTGGTGCTTTAGTATGCCTAGGCGTTTTCCTGTGTCTGTGGCTGCTGTGCCATCTCCGAGCGCGACAGGCTCGAGATAAAGCTGTGATCGTTCAGGCGCTAGCAGCGATTGATCAGGGTGTCTCTTCCCAGGTATGGCTTGCCAGCCTTAAGAGGGATGTGTAAGGCCTCAGCCCTTGTACCCAGCGACCTTGTTGTTGTCATTGCACCTGGTAGGGTGGGGTTCTTGCAGATAGCCAATGACCTTTACACCCCGATCGGCCTTGTTGCCCTTGCACTCGGGAAGGCGTTGGCATCCTTTCCCTCCGGAACAGCTGTCCTTGATCGGTTGGATCACCATGAGGTTCTGACCTGATCGGATACGTCCCGGGTGTCTATTAATATATATATATATATATACGTATATATGTATATATATATACGTATATATATATGTACATGTATATATATATACATATATATATATATATGGGGGAGATGTAGAGCGCCAAGCGGCCACAACCCTGCCGTCATTTCCTGCCTCTCAAGCAGCTTCGGCCCCGCCCTGAGGCGCTTGGCGAGCCTTCCGGAATGGCGCGATCCAGCCGCCAATCGTGAGCTGACTCGTAAGATCAGGAGCGGCCAGAGCCATTCAGACACGGACACGTATCAGGCTTTGTTCTGCACGGCTTATAAGCCGTGCGCACCAGGGTCCTTCGCCATCATCCTCAAGTTGTGCGCTCCCAGTAAAGTATGTTCTAAGAAGAATCCTGTTGTGGTCGTCTCTTCTGCTGGCGGACGTGGCATGCCACAGTTACTCCCAGGAAGAACTTTCGCCGAAGCCTCTATGTTCAGAAACAGGATTGCCAAGAAGCCATCTGCTGAATACTGTGGAAAGAAAGCCAAATGACAGATACATAACCAAAGAGGACCAGTGTGTGAATACAGATGTGAGCATTTTATTGTTTTGCTTTGCTTTTTGTGTGTGCTGGAGGCTCCTTGCTGAGTAGGGTTTTTTTTTTTGAGCACACATCAATCAAAATTTATTATCATTACCCAAACCCACAAGTGCTGCTGATAGTAGAAAGTGTAGAAAAAGAAAAAGTGCACAAGAATTCAGAAAACTGCATGGCTGGAACATCCTTCAATCTATGAGGTAAACGCCCAGAGAGGACGGAAACAACTAAAAAGTGGGGTGAGGCCTACACTGGGGTTAGTCCTGTCCTGGAGGGGGCTGTGGGCCCCTGAGGGCATCTGGACCGAAGTACCACTGGCTACAGGTTGGGGTGCCCAGGGCCTCTTCCCAGACTTCCTGGTTTATCAAGGCTACCTCTTTGCTGGCCTGGGAGGAAAGTTCCATCACCTGACTGAAGATCCTGTTGAGCTCCAGGTCCTTCTTGGTAATCAAGTCCCTGAGTTCCTCCAGCAGGCATAACACCTGAGCCTTGGCATCCAGCACCTGCGCGCTGGCGTCCGGGGAACATACGCCCAGCTCGCCCAGGAGCTGCAGGGTGGTCTTCAGGGCCGGCCCCAGTTCATCTAGGAGCTCCTGCCCACATCCCTGCATGTGGATGCCCCGCACGGGCAGCTCATGTTGAGTTTCGTCCAAGGCTGTGGCCAGTGTCTTGTATTGCTCCTTGAAGCGCTCTGCTACAGCCTGGAAAGGGGTTCAGTGCCTCTATCTGGGCATCCAGAATGGTAGCCAGCTCCTGATGTTTCTGCTGAAGCAGCAGCTTGCCCGGCAGCTCGAGCACCCGCTGCTGAAGACGCTCCTTCTCACGGTCCATGGCCGCTAATTCCTTCTCAGCCTTCTCCTCCAGCCGAGTCAGGTTCTTTTCCATCTTCACAGACAGCAGGGTCAGCAGCAGTGTCTACGACTCCATCATGTCCATGGTCTCCTGCAGATCCTGTTTCTTCTTTGGAAGCGGTGCCTTTTTCCGAGTGGCAAAGGACGTGGACTCAGCTTTCTTTGATTTTGTCATGGCTGGTTGGGGAGCCGTCCTGAACATGCTTGTGTCTTTGATCTTCTGCAATGTGCTGGTCTTTCTTCTCTCAGGTGACGTCCCTCCAGCGGACACAGAAGCCTTCTTAGTTTTCTTCCCAGATTGCAGGTATCTGGACTCGACCACTCTTCCTCCTGGTACTCTTCTTCCTTCTGTCTTAGGGGCACCACTGGCTACGGGCTTCCCTGTGTCCCCCTCCGAGGATTCCGCCATTTTCCCCGCCTTCCACTCGAAGAGCCGCTTCTCAGGGCTCCGCCCGCTAGGAGGCAGGCAGGACCGCAGAGCCATAGCGTTCCCTCTGAGTAGGTTTCTAAGAGTTTTTATTCTGCTTTTCTGCTGGGGGCCAGCTGCTTGCTGTCCAAATGGACAAGTCCATGAAACCTGGGAAAGTGTTGCTGGTCCTGGTAGGTGCCACCCGGACTGGATTCAGTGCCATCATCAGGAAGAACATTGGTGATGGCATCTCAGACTACCCTTACTGTCACGGCCTGGTGGCTGAAATGGACCGCTCTTTCTGAACAGTGACAGCTGCCCCGGGCAAGAAGAGAATAGCCAGGCTATCGAAGATCAAGTCCTTTGTGAAAGTGTATAGCTTCAATCATCCCGTGCCCACAGTATTGTCCTCTGTGGACAACCCCATGGACACAACTGCTGCCAACGAGGATGTCTTGCAGGTAAGTGATTAAAGGTGTGTTCCACCATCGCCCAGCTGGGATCACACTCTTAGAGAATAATTGACTCCCCGCCCCTAGCAACCATCAGCTCTCAATACCTCTTCAGCTGGGGCCCCTCTGTCACTTACGCTGGAAAGTTTACTGGCTCGGTCGCGGTGAGGCAGACACAGCTGCTGTAAATTCAATGAGTCTAATAATCCTGTCTAGTCCAGAGGACACTCTTTTGCCCCAGCCCTCCCTCAACCTTTAAGTTCTTCCCCCTCTGCACTGATTTCTGAGCTTTGTGGGGAGGGATGTGATATAAATATTTCGTTTATGGTTGAGAACTCCACAAACGCTTGTTCTCTGCACTTTGACCAGGTGTCTCTGTGTTAACCACTGTCCATTACACAGAGATGCTTCTCTGACGGCGACTGACAGCTCCGCTAATCTATGAGTCTGGAGATACCTATTTAGACTGCAGTTTGATACTATGTCTATTTGTCCAAACAGTAGTAGTAGGCTCTCCCTTAGAACCTGTGAGCTTTCCAGCCTTAGGCTGTTGGGTAGATTTACGGTACCAGACACAACTTCCCTCTGTCAGGCCTTAAGACCAATCAGAAAGCTGTTGGTGCTGGGTGGTGGTGCACGCCTTTAATCCCAGCACTCAGGAGGCAAAGGCAGGCGGATCTCTGTGAGTCTGAGGCCAACCTGGTCTACAGAGTGAGTTCCAGGACAGCCAGGGCTACACAGAGAAACCCTGTCTTCGAAAAACCAAAGGAAAAAAAAGCAGTTGGTTATCTCTATCGTCTTCACGTTGCTATTGCACCAATGGGCATATCTTGCATATGACTGTAATTGTAGCTTGCAGGATTCATAGCTGGGTCGGACTGTTGAAGGCTTTTCTCCCCCACCAGCCTGCGAAGCACCTTCCAGGACTATGAAGTGAGTCAGGAAGGAGGAAGCTCCCAGATCAGTATCTGTTTGACTTTTCTAAGTTCTATGTGTCTAAGTAATATAAAATTATATTTCCTTATTTTATTTCTGGGTGTGTAGACACACATGCCACATATAGCGCATGTGTGGAAATCAGAGAACTTGTATGAATCAGTTCTCTCCTATCACGTGGTTCCAGGGATTAAACTCAGGTCATTAGGTTTGGAAGCAGTGAGCAACCAACTCAAGAAAGGTTCTTTGTAAGCAGAGACTCTGCTTTCGTTTCTGGCTTCCCAGATCCAAATAATCACACAGAAACTATATTAATTGCAGTGTTCATTAATTTGGCCAATGGCTCAGGCATATTCCTGACTAGCTCTTACATCTTAAATTAACCCATATCTATTAATCTGTGTATCACCATGAGGCTGTGACTTACCGGTAATGTTTTGGCATCTTTCTCCTTTGACAGCTACATGGCATCTGCTTGACTCTGCTACTCTCTCTATACATCTGTTTGGATTTCCTGCCTGGCTTTATTCTGCTAAGCCAATGGCCAAAACAAGTTTATTCATCAACCAATAAAAGCAACACATGTACAGAAGGACATCCCACATTAGCTATTATTTATCTACCTCTCTGTCTATCTATCTATCTATCTATCTATCTATCTATCTATCTATCTATCTATCTATCTATTGTTTTTTCAAGATAGGATCTCTCTGTGTAGCCCTGGATGTTCTGGAACTTGATCTACAGACTATGCTGGCCTCAAATCCAGAGATCTGCTTGCCTCTGCCTCTGTGCTGGGATTAAAGGTGTATGCCATCCACCACACCCATCTGAGAGATGACTTTTTATGGACAGTTGTGCAGGATTATAATTAGAGGACACAGGGAGGTGATCTTCTTTTAAATGATTTATTTTTATTTCATGTTCATTGGTTTTGCCTGTATGAGGGTGTTGGATCCCTTGGAACTGGAGTTACAGACAGTTGTGTGCGGCCATGTGGGTATCGGGAATTGAACCCGGGTTCTCTGGAAGAGCAGTCAGTGCTCTTAACCACTGAGCCATCTCTCCAGCCCCCCAGGGAGGTAATCTTTGATAGCAAACTGGGCAGCAATAGGTTTACTTGTTCGGGTTCTTCCTCGTATCTCTGTGTCTTCAGAGACAAGGGAAAGAGAGAGCACATGCAAACCTTCTGGGGGAGGGGGGCAGGGTGGAAAGGAAGCCAGTCATCTTACAGGCTACTCTAGGGATGGAAGGTGAGGGGCAGGTGACAGTGGCCTTCCAAGGGACCATATCCAGAGGCTATGTTTCCCTTATCCCATCACCTCTGTTACTTGTAATCTGCAAGTAGGCTTTGCTGCTCAGATCTTTCTTGCCAGAGCTTGTGGCTGAGGGGCTGTATTGTTATTGTTAGAGGCGGTATGTGTGTGTGCTGTTAAGCAAACTTATTGGCAGTTCTGATGATGTGGTCCCAGAGGGAGGAAGGAAAGTGTTCCAGGCTCAGGACACCTGCAATATTGCTGTGTGCAATCAGAAGCATCGTTTTCTCAAGGGGTCTCCTAGCAACGGAGGCTTCACACTAATGCTGTCAGACCCTCCCCAGCCCATTGACTCAGAGAGCAGTGGCAGCTGAGGTGGAGGCTGTCCTTCAGCCCCAGCTGCTGTTACCACTTAGGGTCCCCATGAGACAAAGGAAGGAGCCACTGCAGGCAGGGTGCCTGGATAGAACTTGAATGATTAATTTATGGCCCTCTAGCCAACATTTTATATTTCCCATCAAGCAGAAGGTTTATGTTTTATTGCCCTAGAGAAGGGTTGTGAAAGGCAAAATGTCTTTTTGGTTCTTATTAACCAAGTCCTGGGAGGATATAGATCAAGGAACAGAAAGGGAAGGGGCTCGGGGGGTTAAGTTAGAATGGCGTCCAGTCTTGGTTTCCAGGCCTGGAACAAAGATCCCCCCAGAACTGAGCTTCTGAGCAGTCACAGCGTGATCGCAGTAATGGCATCTGTGACAGAAGGACACTCCAGCTCGGGAAGATCGTGGAATCTTTGCCTGATTCCAAGATTCCCAGGTAGGAGGCACCAAGAAAGACTGGTTAGGTACTCTGCCGGCCTGGCAGAGTGGGCCTTAGAGGCAGCAGCCCCTGGTACGGAAAACAGGCCCGACGGCTCTCCGAGGTTCAGAGAACAATTGTCTTCATCTGGCTTCATTGGCACTATATCTCTCTGAACACATCCACCACCTGCCACACACACAGACACACATGGGGACACACACGCACAAGTGTGCCAAGACTGAGGCTTGCCTACAGGAAGGTCCTGAGTGATGTTGAGAGGCAGCCTGAAGCAACAGCTGGACTGCCCTGCAGGCCTCACGTTTGTTTGTTGCTGCTCCGTGCCCTCCACCCCGCCCCTCTCTGGGTGTGACCAGCTTCTGTACCTGCCTTCCTCAGGCTCCCTCTGAGGCTTCCTAGGGTCCTTCCTACACAAAGACCTTGCACTCACATCCTTAGGTCACATCATCTGGGGGAGGGGACAGCGTAGGAATACTCCTACAGCCGCTGCAAGCCCTAGAGCCAGAGCAGGCGTCTGGCAGTGTTTGCTAGGAAGTCCCTGAGAGGTCTCCCGGATTCGAAGCTTTCAATTTCTGCTTTTCTGGTGGTGGGGATGGGTCCCAGGTCCTTGCAAGTGCTTCACCATTGAACTACACCCCCACCCCTTCAGTAATAGTACGTCCCATACAGTCATCCTCGTAGAACAAATGTTTACGTATCAGATGCTGCTGATGAAGATAAAGAAAGGCCTGTGAATGTGACCCAAATACTTCTGAGCCCCCATTTCCTTCCGTAAGACCTGCGCTTTTGTATCGTGGTCAAAAAGCAGCACAGCCCTGTCTCCAGCAGTCTCGCAAGCAGCCAGGCTCTTCTTCAGTAACTGAGTCAACTGGGAAAGAAGCTACGGAAAGTTCTCTAGCCCCGAAGTTTCACCCACAAGGCATTTGCTTACATCTGTCTTTAGAGCTTCAGTCTCCAAACCCTGCAGGCTCTCGGTACACTACTGTCCCCACCCTGCCCCCTACTCTGGCTCACTCCTGGTGACATCTCACAGACCAAGAGTTTCCTCCAGAAGTTGGGGAAGGGATTAGATTGGGAATGGGAAGACTGACTAATTTATTTCAAAAGCTTTTGTCCTAGAGCCCATTGTTGATGTCCAGACTTAAGATCTAGCCTAGTAAAAACAGAGCTTCTCAAGTTGGCTGACCTCTAGCCCCTTTGCCATCTTGTTCTTTCTGGCATCAACGCGTGAAGTAAAAGTCTGTGTGGCTGACAGAGTGCCAGAGCGCCGTCTTTCTCCGCAAATGCTGTAGTTCTCACCCAGCCATGCACGTTTGGGGCTCAGAAAAGGATACCCTAAGTCTGGTACTTTGGCATATTGAGTATTTTGAAATTAAAAAACAAAACAAAACTCAGGGCAGGAGATGTAGCTCAGTGGTAGAGCACTTACCTAATATGTGCCAGGTTCTGGATTCAATACGCACACACACACACACACACGCACACACGAAAATGTTTTAAGATTAAAGAAATAGCCAGGTGTGGTGACACACACCCTTAATCCCAGCACTCGGGAGACCAAAGGCGGTGGATCTCTGTGAGTTTGTAGGCAGTCTGCTGTACATAGG